CTTGGATATTTAATGTACTTTAAGAGTATTTCAAAATTTTCAAATCCAATATTGTTCGACCTTTAGATTATTTTATATATTTAAATTTATACTTAGTCTCTATAAAAAAAAATAGTAATTTTAAAGATTTATAAAATAAACTTATATGTATCATATATATATATATATATAGATAAAATATCATAGATAATTATGTATAATATTTAGAATGATTACATAATTTTCTCTAATAAATAAATAAGTAATTAAAAAGGGTTAGATAATAGTAAAGAGTAAAATAATAATTTTAAATTTTAAAAAAATAAAAAATATTAAAAAATACAAATATCAAAATTAAAACATACTTATTTTACACATTAAAAAAAACATAATTAAGTCTATTTTATATATCAAAGTGTTTAAAAACTTTTTAGAAGATGACAATCTATCCATTTGAAATTGGGCCTTCTGTGCAATCCAGTGCCCATGTCTTATACTTGCATTTTATTGTGTTTGGCTAGCAGTTTAACAATTGTCTGTTTATTTTATTTTCTTTTAATTTAGCTTAAATGTTTTTAATCCTTATAATTTAAGTATTTGTTTTTGTTTGCGTATTTTTTTTATCACTTTTATATATATATATATATATATATATATATATGTCTACATGAAAAATATGTGATATAATTGTTTGTCTACTATGCCATTTTTAACAAAATTTCTCTAATGGCGATGACAACTAAAAAAATACAAAATGTTTTAGATACAATTTACCGAAATAATGTCATGGTGGCTAAAAAATAAAATGTACAAATTAAAAATATATTTATAAATATTTAATAAAGTATAACTATTTAAAAAAATTAAATTGAAAGAGTTTAATAGTAGATTAAACTAGCAAACAAGCAACCATTAAACATGTAGATCAATTGACACATGGTTATTCTAATATGAAATATGCAGCTACATTAATACTCAAAATATGTTAGAAATACAGACAAAGTCTTACATTATTGGATTATGAGGAGAAATAAAAAGTTCATAAAAACATACATAGTTTCCATTAATATGAGATATTTTGAGAGATGACCAAAAACAAATTGATGAGGTTTAGGCCAAAATGGACATGTCATAAAAATGTGAAAACACGTGTGTGTGAATCCAAGGTGTCTAACAATGGTAACAAAGCTAATGGTTTCGACTATGATCAACTCAGAAGTTTCGGATGAGTATTTGACAATTGGATATGGTGGATCCAAGTATCAGATCTGTTGTGTTGAAAATATTTCTAATAGTATGATGGTCAAACGATGTGTTTTGTTGATATGAGCTAACAACAATGCAAGTATCTAAAGTTGACAGGTGTGACTAAAGCTCTAAGAGTTACCATTGAATACTCATAAATGGAAAATGAATTTTCACTAAAGGGGATGTTAAACCATGATTCTTTGTTTGATGAGAGGTTTGTTAAGTACAAATAAAATCTCACATCATTAAATCATGAAAGTAAACAAATATTTATAAAGCATACATAGTCTCCATTGGAGAATAAAATCACGAGGGTTTAAATTCAAAATGAACAATATAGTACCAATGTAAAGATGTATGTGTATGAATCCCAAATGCTCAATAAAATGAAAGTCAAGGTATCAACGTATCATGCCATAATCTTATATTCATTGATGGACTACTTACACTTGTCAAACTTTAGCTCAAGAGTCCTTAATGTGAGAGGAAAGGAGAGTGTTAGGACATTGCTTTAATTGTAACAATCCTTTGTTCACTTTAGTTATTACCTTTTTAGAGGTTGCCTTAATTGCAACCTGCAGAGTAATAATTTAATTATACATCAATTAATAAAATAATTTAAATAATACTTATTAAGTTCTACCGATTTCACTTTGCAAATCGATTTTGCTCTTTTAACAACGAAAATATGCAAGCAAACATCTAAGCTTCTAATACTTAGCAATACTTTACATCCTAAATATGCATTTAAAATTATCTGCCTCAGTCAATATTTCTTTTAAATTCTTGCATGTCGACTAAGTTTTTATTGACATTGGTTAAACATTATATAATAATTATAAGGGAGGTGACGGGAGCTATTGTGATAGTTTTTTTTTTCCCCCTAACTTTTTGCTGCTGGTTGGTGGTGATTTATGTTGGTTGAACTTGTTGGTCAAGTCCGTCAAATGTGCATGAAGTTTCCATAACAAAAATAATGAAACAAGATTTGTATTTAGTGTTCTTGCTTCTCATGGATCGTAATTTCATGCTTTATGATATATAATTTATGATTTTCAATTTATAAAATACATGCACAACTTCAAAGATAAAAGTTTTTTATGTAAAAAATAAAAAAATTAAGGTTTATGTTTTTTTTTTTTTAGCTTTGACAATAGGTATTAAAAATCTTAATTTGACCATTCTCAATTTGGTTGTTAAATCTTGCATGCTGAGTATAATATGTTGATTATAAGGGGAACGATCGAAAGTCAAAAACTATTGTTGATCTTATACTTTATAGGTTTCATCTTCTTGAGAGATAAGCCTACTATTTTCTCCGTTAGTTTTTTTTAGAGAGTGATGCTATTTTTTTTCCCTTTTTTTTATGGTTTCTTCTAGATTTTTTTTGCTGTTGCTCAATAGGTGTTTGTACACTGGTTGTATTTGTTGGCCAGAGTCTTGTACTTAATATAATTATACATTATTTTCTCATAAAAAAACACTAGTTATATATTAAATTTATTGCATTTGTACTTATCCATGTGAAAATTTAAAGTACGTTTACCAAGTCATTTGTTCTCGGTCTCTCTTAAGCCAAAATTTGGCTGTCTCCCTTGATGCGTCAAAGTAAATTTGATTTTGAAATGAATAATAAATAACAAAAATAATATACTATTTGTTACTGTATAGCTTAATACAAATTCATGACGATTTCAAGTTATATTCGCAATTAGAAGTTGAGTCTTAAGGTGAATCTATATGTGCTTGTTCTTCTTCTTCTTCTTTTTTTTTTCTTCAATCCGATTCCTCATTGTTTAGAAGTAACACAACGGAGAAAAAGGTTATGAATCCAGAGAAAAAAAAACTGGTTTTGGACTTAGCGGGGGATTTATTATAAAGGGGATAGATTTTTGAGTTTTTTTTATTAAATATTATTATCTTTAAATTTAATAACCATTTTTTAAAAATTCTTTTAAAAATAAATTTATACTTTATAAATTATAAAGGGAATAAATTTTAATAACCACCCTTTTAATTTCTATTTTTGTATTAGAAATTATTATCCTAGGTTTACCAATCATCTTTTTTTTTTTTAAATTTTTCAAAAAATAAATATATAGAGATACAAAGTGCTTATTTCTCTCCTAATAGCTATTAAGAAAATTAATAAAAATAATTTAAGCAAAGTGACAATTAGGAGTGTTAAAAAACCTTAACTGAATTGATTAAAAATTAGACAAATATAAAAACTGAAATGAACTATTTCTAAAATAAATTAAATTGATTCGAACTATAAAAACTAAACTATTTTTTTTTTAAAGAGTGAAAATTTTCCACTTTTAATCTTTGATTGAAAAAAAGTAGTTGTTCAGTTTGAATTTTAAAAAATAATTCGCCAAATGAAAAAAGTAATTTAATTCAGTTTTTCTAAACTATATTTCGATTCAATTCAATTTAGATGAATTATTTTTCCAGTATTCAATCGAATACCTTTGAACACCCCTACCGACAGTAGACTTTGCCTGTATATTTCTTTGAACTCATCGATACAGAGGAGCAAAGGATTTTAAGATATTGACAATGAAGGTACCAGGAATCAGAAATAATAGTTTAGAACTTGGATTTGATTCCCTGAAGAGCGAAGATTGAAACAAACTGTTGAGTACAACTAAGCCTCTACCTAACATATCAAACATAAGAATCCCAGAGAGTGAATTACACAGCTAATTCCAAAATGTGTCAATATTATATGAATATACGATGTCCCAAGGCCAATGATTTGGTAAGGGAAGAAATAAATATTATGAAATTATTAGCCTGCCTTATTAACAATTTCAGAGCTTTAGTCTGGTCCCCCATTTCCATGACCGATAGAATCTCACCTCTTGGATGATTTTCCAAAAGCAAATTAATAGAAAGCCAATAGAAACCTCACTACCGGCTTAGCATTTTTGAAAAGGATACCCAAATAATTTGTAGGGCCTTAATGCACTTTTAAACCTATCACCTATGGTTTGGCAAGGTGGCCACTCTTACCTTTATAATTTGGTCACTTGGAATGTCATGGAACCCATCATTAACAAGTAACCGACACCTAAGTATACAAAAAAGCAGGGACCTGTTTTTCCTTTCCATTCAATTACCATACATACCCTTCACCTATGGTCTAATACTACCAAATAGAAAAAACGAAATTCTATATGAGACCAGTTCCCGAACCTTCATTTCCTACAAATGCAAACTCGTAATACCTTGCTTTTTTGTTTCACGCTATAATATGCACAGAATTAACATATATATTACCGAAAACTAAGATATGTGTTTGGTCTAAATTCTCAGTCCAAAGAGGCTTAACAAACGTCACAATCTCACGATGTTAAAAGATTATTTATTCTTACATAGTTCACCCATATACTCATATTTAACTTGTCGGTTCGTTTTTTCACTTCAGTATTTTACTCCCAGCTTCAATCTCGAAATAAAAGTTTCCTCGGTCCAAAAAAATCACATATCCTCGCAACATTCAAAGTCCAAACCCAACAAACACCGCTTTATTTAGCAAGGAAAGCAAAGCATATGAAGCTTCAGCCCCAACGCAGCAAAGCATTAAAAAAAAGTAACGGCAAACTAATTTAATTCAAGAATCTGGGAATCTCCGAATCCCAATTTCACACTTGGTTTGAATAGCAAAAGTGGAAATAAAGTTACCATTAGGCACAAAAAAAAAGAGGGGGATTAAAAAAGAAAAAAGAAAAAATAAAAAAACGAAATTAATATGATAAGAGGTGGAATTTGAAAAATTGAAAAGGTGAGCATTAATGAGTCGCTGATAGCATCGCCAATACACGGACACAGCCTCTGTCTTTTCTTTTCTTTTCTTTTCCTCACCCACTCACTCAGATTCAGAGTCTGACTAGCACAGAGTAAAACCAAAACCAAAACCAAAGTAAAAAGGGTAGCAAAAAACAGTGATAGTTTTTTTTTTTCTCCCCTTGTTTTTACAGAACCATAGAAGTCCAAATAAACAACAACACTATTAAGAAGCAGTGTATGCTCACAACAGCAACCCCAAGATGGATTACCACAAATGTTGATGAATAACAAATTTATATATTAATAATAATAATAATAATAACAACGACAAAACACATAGGATAAAAAAAATAAAAATAAAAAAAGAAAAAAGAAAAATTTAGCTCCTGCACCTGGTAATGGCACTGCAGCCGCGGCTGTAAGGGTTGGCCTGTGCCCCGGGTCGGCAATTGTAGTACGATGCGCCGCGGCGAGAGCAGGGTACAGTGTTCCTCTGCAGCGCATTGTAGCTGATGTACTTGTTGGTTGCTAAGATGCGCCGGTTGATCTCCGAGTCCAACTCAAACTCCTCCCCTCCCAAGCACTCCGCGATCGACCCCTTGCACGTCGAAACCCATCCCATTCCCAACCGGTGCTCCCCGCCGCCCACCGCCGCCGCCGACCCACTCGCCGCCGCCAATGCTGCGCAGATCAACATCAAACCTAACGAACATAACTTCGCCATTCCCTTCTCAATTCCAGAATGCTGTGCGCTGTGTTTTTCTTTTTTTCTTTTTTTGTAAATGAAAATGAGTTCAGCTCATGAATGGACACACCTAGTTGCGAGTTTCAAACTTAAAGCCTCTCTCCGCTGTTTCAGAAAAGGACACTCTATTGTCGTTTATTTACGTGTATGCCACTTCGGACAACGACAACCACTTTCTATTTTTTTTTTTTTTCGTCTCTGGAGTATCCACCGCCGACAGCAGTGACTAATCTCCTCGCTACGTTGGAAGCACCTCAAAGGGTGGGATAGCTGACCCCAAGATTTAACGCGGCTGCATATACAAGGCAGGATTCAAACCCTTGACCTTGCTTAAGCGTGGATCAACCCCTACCGCTGAATCACACGCTCGGGGTTCAACCACTTTCTATTTAACACTACTTTTTGCTTCGGAAACGGGAATTAATTGTACTACTACTATTCAATATTCCAATATACACGATCGATCGTTGATAATTTTATAATTACATGTGATTAGGAAGAAATTACGTAGGTAATAAGTAATCCCCGTTAATAACCACGAGGGGGGAGAAATTATTACGTGGTAATGAAAACGGAAATGTTTAGCCGAATTTGACAAGTTTGTCTTGAATGGATATGTTTCGTTAAATATTTAAGTGGACCAAGGAGAGAATACAGGAGGGGCCGAGAGGAGACGTGTGGAGCATCAAGAAGTGTCTCTTATTTGTATTTTTCTGAGAACTAGAGGGTGTGAATGTGATTTCATTAAGGCATAATTATTTCTTATGTTGTTTTAATGAAATTGAGAAAGGTTATTATATTCCGCTAAGTTGACTATTTCAATGGCTGTGCTAGTTTCCACTTCAACTGTTGAACGCGAGAAAATGGCTAGCTTATTGACAAGGATGCACCTACTCCTGCCTTCGATTTTCCAGGTGTGAGAATTGCCTTCGTATATCATATAGATGTGTCTCCGGGCGTGACTTCCCAACACGTCTAAGAAGTATTTTAATCAGTGTCATTGACGAGGAAGCGTGAGAAAACACCTTAGCGTAATCGTCGTCTCGTATGATGGATAACAACCATGTTTCACATATAATAAGAGTTTAAATATATTAAAATATATATATACCGAAAGAGATTAACTACTATGACTTGATGAATTATACAAGGGTAAGTTTGAAAGGTGGATGATGGAACAATAAGTCAAGTCAAAGAAAAATATTTGTTTTTGATATACAAAGAAGATAAAAAAAAATTGGTGAGCAACACATTTCCCTAAAAGTATGCAGGTGATTTCTCAAAAGTAGAATGATATATAGGAAGATAACACACCAAAGATTATAGATTTGGCCAAGTGTTTATTTTTCTTAGATTTTAGTTATTCATATCTTATATTTAGATTTTGAATCTTCTTATCTCTCTTTAGCATTAAATGATCTTCTAAAAATATTTTAACACATTTCTCTAATTGACATGATTTTTGTCTAATTTTATTTATAATTGACAAAATTTTATTGTAGACAAAACTATGATGATATATATCTGATCTTATTTTATAACATTTACCTGACTTCGTTTATAATATCTTTGTCGTAATTTATAAAATTTTATCTTTTTTTAATATGATAAAGACATTCACCTAACTTTTTTATAACACTTTATTTGTCGTGATAGTGGTGATATAATAATAACTTTTGTCTAATTTTATCTATACAACATAATGACATCTTTAATACTTAAGATTCTTGCATGTTACGCCTGTCATTTTAGTTTGATTTGATCAAAAACGAATAAACATATTATCCTACTTCTGATCAAGACAAACTTTCATACATAAGATGATAATAAAAAACATATAATCTTACACATTATCTCTTCCATTAACTATGTTTTGTAATCATCTATCTGATCTTTAACTTTCTGAAATTCTTTATCTGAAGCATAAATTTTTTATGTGAACTTAAAAAAAAACTTCTCTTAAGAAGAGACGAAAGAAACTATTATATTACTAAAATAACAGTTCATCTTAACTAAGATGTAATATTAAAATTTAGTGAGATACATTGAATATCAATCTTTAAATTTCACAATTTAATAAAGAAATTTGTAAAATAATCATCTAGTTTAAATGTTAGATCTATGTACCATTTGAAGTTGTCAATTTTACCTCTTTAAATTTTATTGTAGATAAGATTGACCCTCATTTTATGTTTGTTTTCCCCTTTCTTTATGAACTTGAGTTTTCTACTTCCTCTACAACTTTGATGACGTCCGTAACCATTTTTCGGGCTTCTTTGAAACCTCCTATTAGCCTTTTTACATTCTCTTTAATTATAAGTACATCTATTACGATTTATGTTTTCTATTTTTTTCCTCTCCTTTCTCATATGGTTAAACTCAAAGAAGGTAGAGGAGAAATTGTAGCAAATAATGCAAAAGAACATTCCAAAGCCTTAAAAAAAGGTAAAATTATCTTATTATCCAATATGATGTAATTTCTACTAATCCCTGCATGACGTGTTATTATTATTTTTTATTAAATTGAAATTAATCACATATCACATTAAAATTGGTCGAAACTATTAAAACACTTTTTTAGAAAAAAAACGTGGAAAAAAGAAGATAAATTAGTAATAAATTAGATGGTTGAGATAATTTATTTATTTATTTTTTCATTTCACCCTTATTTTTCTGACTTAATATTTCCTTAACAAACCAAACATTATACCCTCTCTATGTTACTGGCTGTGACGACCACTGCACAAACATTGTCGTTGTGGATGGAGGACAATAGCAGAAGCTTGGCGACTGGGGAGAGCTCCAATGTAGAGGAAGAAGATAGAAAGAGAAGAGGGAAAAACATGAAAGAAAAACTTCAAGAGCATGAAATGGAATTGATGAGACTAAGTCAAAATGAAAATAATGACAAAAAGAAGAAAAGTATAGCACTTAAAGCATCTTCATCCTCTCATGAAGAAAATGAAAAAGATGACAACATTGAGGAAGATGATGATGATGATGATGATGAAGATTTCAATCTCTTTGTAAAAAGATTCCACAAATTCCTAAGGAATAGAGGAAATAGAAGAAAATTCAATTTCAACATAAAGAAGAAAGGAGAAGAATCTTCTACAACCTCGAGATGCTATGAATGCAATCAATCGGGACATTTGAGATTAGAATGTCCGATCCTTAAAAGAAAAATGGAAAAGTCCATCAAGAAAAGCTTCAAAGAAATGAAAGGGAAGAAAACTTATATCACTTGGGAAGAAAATGACATGGATTCTTCAAGTGACTCTGAAAATGAAGTTG